GTTATAAGGATGTTTTGAATGATGTGTTTAGAATTGAAATATTGGAATAACAATTGAAGAGAATTTTAAATATCCTTAATAATTATCACTGAATTAAATTCTTTATAATGAAAATTTTTATAAAAAAAATTTTGAATTACATAAAATTACTAATTAAACTAAATGGTGGTGCCTGCATAAATGCTTCTCTTTCTTTGAATTTATAAAAGCATCATATTTAAAAGCATATTTCTAAGTTTAAATAATCTTAAAATAGTGTTTGATTATTAATCTAATTTTTTCATTATTCATAATATATTGGATTTTGAAATTTGAAATTTTCATAAATTTGATTCATTAATACAGTGTGAAAGAGCTTTAATCTGACAGATTAGTCCAGTAAAATTTTATTTTTATTATCATTCTTCCATATATCTATCATTTATATCTATTTTGATGATGTTATCAAAAAAAGTTTCTGAAGTTACGTTTTATCTTTAATTATCTTGATAATATAGAAGTTTTTGAATAACAATAAATTTATCTTCTAAATTCATTCGTCTAAAATTCGTTTCGAAAACTGCTTATTTACATTATGGATATCAATTTTTTAATCTACATATTTCGTCCTTTAAACTTTATTTAAAAACTTGAAACAATTGGAACAATCACTAATTCAAATTGCTGATACATAAATTACATCAAATCATTAAATTTCTTGATTTTCTTGAAACTAAATTTCGAATAAGGGAAGAAAATATTTATACAAAATTTTTCTAATCTTGTGAAAATAATATACTATTTCAAGAGAAAAAAAAAACCCTCAATGAATTGACCTAAATAAAATCTTGCAAACCTGCAATTTTATTCAAATGAGAACAAAAGCTCTTTTCAGGTTCGAATTTTAACAAGTATTTGATTGCTAAATATTTTTGATTTTTGAAATTAGATGTCTGAATTTTATTATAACCAGAAATTTTTTCAAAAAAAATTTGTTAATATTTTAAATAAATTTATATATTATAATGATTTTAATCTTTTAATTAAAAGCGGGTAATTAACAAAAATTTTTATTATTTAAATACCTTATAATAATTATGCATTATCTTCAAAATAAAAAGCACCAAGTTTTTTTTACAGAAAGTAAAAGGTTTAAGCGAGGGATTTTGAATACAATAAATAGACGGCATACAATATGCTGCCTCTAAAGTGATTTATATCACTAGATCTAAACCAATTTGAACTTTGAATTATTTCATAAAAGAAGTTATTCAAGTTCTCATTCAACAACCGATCAAGATTCCAATTTGAAAGAGGATGTCTCTAAATCTTCAAAAGATGACCAAAATAACTAATTTAAAAAAAATTAAGAGAATCGTTCTCAAAGTGAGAGCTAATCAATCCATTTATCCAAACAATCTAACCAAAAAAAAAATGATGATGACATAAACAATATTTACTAAATTCGATAAAATGAAGTGGATTTTTAATAATTTAAATAAGATTTTTAGTTGGATGTCATTTAATTGGAAACCTTGTACTATTACCTTTCAAGAGCTGGCTTCCAACGCTCTGCACCTTTGTAGATTCTCCCTTACCTTTGTTATTATTTTTATTCTCTAATTTTATATAGAAGTGATATATTTAAGATTTTAGCTCAGTATATCGATATGAAAAGTCGAGATCAATAAAGATAGTAATTAATGGAATTGTAAGGGAGATTTTTCTCAGAAAAACTCAATAATTAATGCCTGTCATAAATTGAGTTTTATAATTACTTAATTAAAGATTAACTTAATGAAACCATGGTTTTTGATCTTCTAGATCAAATAATTTATAAATTAAATTTTTATTATAATTTGCTTCTTGATGATTTTTTGAAATACTTTTTATTATCAACTCTATAAGTTTAGAAAATAAAAGAATCTTTAGGAGATACAAATATTTATATGAAAAACAATATAGCTTTAGGAAATATTAGATTCGTTTTTAAAAAAAAGGATGGAGAATTAATTAATTTTAAATTCCCTATAGGAAATTTTTCAAATATTCAGTTTTATGATTATGTCTAGTTTTTGAAAGATTTTGCCAAATAATTACCTATAACTAAATCAATTCAGTCTTTTAATGAATTTCCTACTGAACCCCCACCATAGCGAAAGGACAATGATATTATATCTTTTGGTGGACTTTGAATTAAAGAAAACAATATTGAGAGAATTAAATGAAAGTTTAAACGATTTAAAAAATACAAATTAAATTCAAAATCTAATCCGAATTTACTTGGAAATAACTACTGAGAACAGAATTTGCAGCTAATGTGTAAGTATGTTCTAGCATATTCCAGTGGAGTTTATATGCTAGACATTTCAGGAATGTTGTGGGTTGAGAGTGGATTAAAAATTTTAATTTATTATTATTTCATAATATTTAAACTTTTAGATGTAGACTTTTTAACACAAAGATATGCTTTATTAAATGAAGGATTATACTCACCTTTTAAGGAGCTATGTGTGAATGCTGATCAGGAGTTGATGAGTTATTATTGTTAAATAAATTAATTTATTATTTTAGGTCCATCCCTAGAAAAAAGATAATCTGTGAAACATATGGAAATGGTATTTTAAAAACATAACATTTCTTCAAAAATTTTATTATAAAATCTCAACAACAAATATGTATTTTATATTTGAAATTTATTCTTTAATACTAACAGAAAGACTAGAAAAATTAAGGTTAACTTATGAAAAATATAATCTTATAGAATTAAGCCAAAATAGAAAGCTAATTAAAGGATGGCAGATAATAATATTTATTTTTGGTAGGTAAGATTTGGGTTTGTGGTTATTTTTTTCTAATTTGAGGTTGGTGAGACTGAACTAGAAAGCTCAACAGCAATCAGAGCGAGAATCAAAGAGTGTGAGATAAGGATAGAAAGATAAAGAATTTGCTCACTTCTCAAGAGTTTGGGCTCTTTTTGACACATTTATTTAATGCTTGCTTTAAAAGCTCAGTTGTTTACAATACTCAAATAGAAGAGAAATAATTTTCAAGAGGAAGTGAGAAATAACAATACAAATTTGAGATTAACAAGAGTATCATGAGGAGAAGAAGAAATAATTTTAAGTTTTAATTTTTTTACTTCTAAAATTATTAATCTTTGTTAGAATAAAAATTATTAATTGCTTTCTTCTATTCCAATATTAGAAGTCAAACATTATTAATATATATTGATTTTTCTAATAATTTCACAAAAATTTCTTATATCTACAATTTATTTTCAAAAAAATCTCTACTAAGACTAAAAAGGCAATTTTGGCTTAAGCCTTTATTTTTTTATCAAATTGATTTATTTGGAGTCTTTAAGAATTTGAATATTTTTTAATTTTTATTTAATTAATTTATTATTATTATTATTATTAGTATTATTATTACAATTAAACACAATTATAAAAATTATAATTCTCAAAATCACAAAGAATTGTGTAGTTCTTAACATTTTTTAATGATATTGTTGTATAGGCGCTAGTAATAATTACACTTTCCTTATTATTTACCATATAAAT